TCCCCGACGGTCGACGGACACTTCAACTCGGTCCTTAAAACCGCCACAATTTGATGCTTACCTCAGAACTAAGCCTTAAAGAGAGGACGGGACCTGCCCAAGGCTTAGTCCTGGGGTGAGCAAACCAGCCCTTCTGGCGGAGCTGCTGGACCAGCTGCACCACTTGCGTCAGTACTCTCCTACCGTACCGACCGAGTTGAAGTAGTCCGTCGACCGTGGGGACCCCATCCCCTCCCCAACATTCAGCATACGGCCCCAGCAGAAACGCCAAAAGGGCTGGTTTGCTCTACCTCTCCCTATTGCCCGTCCTGCGAGGGCCTGCGCTAAAACTTGCCCATTTTGTTGAATGATATCTCGTCTGTTTTCTCGCCTCAACGAATGTCTCTTGCACGTATCTGACTCTGACTAACACGAAAACTCAGACATCCATTAAAAAGAGCGAAATTTTTAAGTATTTCAAAGATTTTCCTTCCCTTCATTTTCCATCACGGTCCTCCTCGACCTCTGCTTTCGTCCTTGGAAGTGTGCTTTCAAATAATTCTGTTCAAATGCCAATGGCAGGCTTCGAATAGTACAAGCTAAACTTCAGATTAGCTAGTTTTTTACATCCAGATTTTATTTGATTTTACAGCAAGGGATGGTTCAGGATTCGCAGTGCATTCCCTGGACGGTTCGTTGCCAAAGTACGTTTCCTTGCGCGCTTCTAAGACCGAAAAGGAGGATCGAGAAATTCTGTAAAATGAAGTCACATATCTTCTAGGTTTACCCCCCCGCACTTTTTTTGAAGTCATCCTTCCAACTAGACATTTTATCAGGATCATACGATCATATCTTCACACCTTCGACACGTTCTTCGAAAGGTTCCTTTCCTACTTAACGGTATTGTTAGAGGATCCTAAAAAGTGGTCGTCTACGTTGAATATCATTTTTCATCATCGGAGCCCTGGTCGATCTTTGCAGCAGACGTTTAATAGAAAACCGGGATTTTGAAAATTGAGACGACTATTTGTTTGTCATTGTCTCAGATATTGATGAATTGGAAATGATCGTGACGCCAAAAACATGCGCTTCGTCTTGGCGATGATCGTCGATTCATTGACCGACTCTATGCTTGTAAGTTGGTACGATCCTTAAACCTGGCCAGGCTATCTAACAAAAAGCCTATCATGGAAACACGACGATCTCGCCACAGCCCCTATATCATATATGATGAGAGCAACTTACGTAACTTTAACGCCACCACTCCTTTGGTTTTACCAATGTCCACTTTGTGAAAGACTTTCTCACAGAGCGAGATGAGGGGCTGGTTGTCGAATATTACGTCGACGTACCTGAAGCAGTTCTAACAAACTGCTGCCTTTTTTTTTCTGGAAAGGCAAAAACTGGTTCTTTTTTGAAGCTTCTACTAAATATAGGAATTGATTCGTGCTCATTTAGCGCACTTTTGGCACCAAAATCCTTCAAGGGGACTTTGATCTTCATCATGACACCTAATCATTATGATCTTGAATTGTCTGAGTGGTGATTTCTATGACACATTCCTCATGTTCTAATGGTACATCAGGAACTTTATCCTTCTTGGACATGGACAAGCTGTGCGCGGTCTCTAGCAGGAGCGGGTTGAATTGTGGCTCTTTCTACAAGATAATAAGCTTAGGTAGCGAAAGGGGTACGTTAAAATTCCACGATCAAAGTCTTATTGCGCAGCAAAAAGCTTTATACCCTGGAAACCTCAATTACCTAGAATTCCGCGACTCACTTAATGACCGGTCGTGAAACTCCAGCCTTCATCTCTGATACATTGCCCCACCCCGCTATTACCCTTCGCTTCTTCTATTCTCTCTCTCTCCCTCATTCCCTATTTCCAAATCTTTGGATCTCCCGTGACTGATATGCTATGAGGATTTGGGGAAGAACTGGAGCGGTCCTTCGCTCACTTCAGGTTTGCTTTGTACACCTTATCCGTTTTCACCTACACCAAATTTTCCAACTTTTTATCCCGTTGCCACAGAATTATGTATTTTCGTGGTAATCACTTGATTGGTTTAGAGGGTGTTACGCCCATTATGACGTGTCTCGCAAATTCGATCTTCCAACACGGTGCACACCTTGGCCCATTTTTTCTACTTTCGGGCTGTCTTTGAGCCCAGGCTTACGTAAACCTCTATGGACTCAGACAAATGTTCTACCTCAGAATCCATGTAGTATTTTTCAGGTGAGTTCGAACAAATTTTTCATAGCGGACACCCTGGCCTGCAAATTATCAGAAAGGTGTGGGTGTTAGAAGGCAGTCTCTTCGATGACATCATGTGCTACTTTCTGATGAAGTTCTTCCGAGCAACGTTGGAAATTCTCCTGCGTGATTGTATCGCCCTGTCGAACTTCTTCGTCACTGATGATACCCTCGTATAACGATGGATTCACGCCTTAGAAATGCTATAAAGCTTACGAGTAATCCTTGTGTATTTATAAGTGTAAGTATCATTGTGACCAGGGTGAATAACGGTCGAGGAAATCCTCGACAGGGGGTCGTATTTGATCCGATGGGAGGGGGAGGGGGTCGTAAGCGCAAGGGTAAATCAACGGACACACGGTGCTGCTGCCACTCACTTCATCACTAATGTCATAAGTTTTAATTAGAAGAAGCAACTGATATCTTAAAACTGACTGGAATGGAAGCTCAAATGGGATATCTACTCTGAATTGTGTAGGCGCTTTAAGAATAGAGGAGCAGGATATCAGTAGAAGGTTCAAAACGGGAAGATTCGTAGCCCTCCTGACATAGTCACATATTGCACCCGCAAATGCGTCATTTATCGGAAGGGGTTGGAAACGAACCGACGTAAATGAAAGAATGATCGAACTAGACTATGCCATAAGAACTTTCTACTCAATTGAGACTAGAAACCTTTGGTTTGCACAAGCAATTCGTTTTGTAGACAAAACACCTTTCAAATGATTCCGAGTGGGGTCTCTGCATGGCGCATACCAGAACGGAATGGATTTGCGCCAAGTGCATCATTTCCAATTCACTCCATCGAAGGTGACGTGCCAGAAGCATTTTGAGGTGTTCAAAGAAGTTCCTTGTTACGGTGAGGGAGAAGTAGAGTTTTCTAGTAGCTTCGAAAATTTCCTTGACATTTCCTCGACGCAGATTTCTCGCGAACAAGGAAATATGCTGAAACAACCTGGAAGCCCAATCTTCTAGGTTTTCACAATGCTGTTCTCCATCTCTTGAAAATTACTAATGAAGGGAGTTACAGTCTTCCGAAGAGCGACAACTTGCATGTAAATATCAGTTCCTCGACATTTCCTCGACGTTTTTCAACTATCGAGGTAAGAAGTGCTTGAAAAAAAGCCCAACCTCATTTGGAAACGAGAAGTCGTATTAGGACAGAATCTGCCTTTCTTTTTGAAATACTTGTCATTGCGGAAAGTTATAGTCCATCAAAAAGAGGGTAGATTTGGCGACTTTTCCAACTAACGCGCTCCTAATTGAAAGGGCGCGCTACGTTAGCGCGGACAGTAGTACCGATATGATGGAGCGCGAGACTGCTCAACTGCCTGAGCTCCTTCAGTTTTTGCTCCCGTTCTTTTCTAACAGAGATCTAATTCCTGTTTGTCCTTTGCTTTCTCGTCTACCACAGAATAGCCGTCTTCAGGTTGTGATCCAGAAGATATTTTTGATTTTGACCGTTCGATTTCCTTTAGGACTCTTTTTACTGCAATAGACAATTTAAAAGTCATCATAGGAATGTCGAATAATGAGCAAAACTCTGCCTCTGTCGGAACTTGAACCTGGAAAGAGGCTGGAATCCGGCTGAGTGCTCTGCGCTGCCTGCCTCTCGAACGTCTAATACTAACGTTTTGTTATGAAACCGGTTGTGCGGAGGACAAGAAGGGGTCGTATCAGAGCCACCGGTAAGGGGAGAGGGGGTCGTAAAGACGCGGTCATTTCCTCGACACGGTTTTCACCCTGATTGTGACTAGTTAAGTTATAAGTCATAAGTAAGTGTAAGTTCGGTCACACTACTAACACCTCTAATACCGATGTGATACGAGACCTATTCTCATGCAGTGTTCCTGTACATTTGAAAGGAAGTCCTATTGAGGATGTCGACGGGCATGTGTACTTTGCAACCCTCAGCTATGCAGGAGAATCTTGGGCCATAATAAAAGCCAGCTTTACATGAGGAACGAACTGAAAATGGAGAGCTAGCGAACGTCGCAAAGATGGAATGGTTGCAGTTGATCCCACAAGAGGCAGCACACCGAGGGCCACGAACTCCCAGTGGACCTTCAACGCAACAGCCTTTGCAACCCTCAGCTATGCAGGAGAATCTTGGGCCATAATAAAATCATTGAAAAGGCAATTAATATCTGCTCTGGCAACAAATGGACGACGTCTTCCTGTGCCTTACGTTGAGTCGCCAACTAGAGTTGAAACTTCTTGAATCTAACGTCAGAGCTATGCCAAAAGTCAAAGACGTTCTTCATGAACCAGAGGTCTCGTAGCCACACTAGTACCAAACCGAAAGCAATTCACTATTTGGCATGATATGATGATATGATGGCATCTACTGCCTTGTAGATCACTGACGACATGACATCTACTGCCTTGTAGATCACTGACGACATACTTTATTCGTTATATCCCTAAACTTGAAGCAACGAGACGAAATTTCTTGCAGTATTGGATCTTTTAAGATCAAGCTCGCTCCAGCTTCTGATTTGGAAGGGTCGGCCGACGTAGTGTTCAAAAAAGCAGGCGCGTTAAGCTCGTAGCGTTTCAAGATCGGGTATTATGGAAGGTCGGCAAATGGCAACTTGTGAGGGCGTTTCCTGTCGAGCTTTTCTAGTGAACTCAGATAGCACCGCTTAAAATAATTGCTAGAAAGAGGAAGCAGCTCTGCTTCTTCCACATGAACACTTGGACTGCACTCAGCCAGCCGTACAAAAGCGTCTAGCCGGAACTCCAGCTTAATCAGCTTTGATCAACTATGCTGCTTTTTCTCACGGTGAGTGCGATTTGTTGATTCTGTTAGTTTTTGTCCCGAACCAAACCCAAATGTACAAAGGAGGCATTTACTGAAATAACAGGGTCATCAGGCGTTAACCTCTTCGACTAGTGCGTAGGAACAGAGTCTGTCCTTTCTTGGTATTTACCTAGAATCGAATCATACCGTTACCCAACCATTCACTGACGCTAGAAGGCAGAGTCGCTGCTCAGAAGAAGTTAGAGATAGGTCACATTTATTTCGAAATGAGTGAGCACGACTGACCACGCGATCACGCTCCGTATGAAGACCGCTACGCTTCAAGAGATTACGTGCAGTACTTTACTTCAAAAATACTTTATTTACTACTTTATCATTTTTTAGCTTCTTCTATTTCTCCTCCTCCTCGAAGGCGAGGCGCAACAAAGTAAGTTGGTTGGAGTTTATTATCTTGGGATGCAGCATCTGCCATCATAATCACTGCAGCTACAGGTCCCGTGACCACCGCGATTCGCACGATGATCGTCAACATGCACAACTATCGCAGGTACTCAGAATTCAGTGAAGTGGTAGCACATATATTAATAATAATAATAAAAATATATTGCCGTTGATCAATCCCTTTGGGATGCGGCACGCATTCTACTTCCATTTGTACATTCGTAGTGGCGTTTGAATGCGATGTGGCCTATACAATGACTTGCGGGGGCCAGCCGATGTACAAGTCAGTGTTTTTATCCTCCCAGACAAGTCTGGTACCAATTAACCGACCCCGGAGGGATGGAAGGCTTGGTTGGCCCGGGCGACTCACGACCCAGGATTTGATCCCCGGACCGCTCGCGTGGTAAGCGTGCCACTTGCCACTACACCACTTCCGCCCTTAGTCAGAAAAATCAAATACAACTGTTGTTTTTACGGGTCATGTGTTCAAACGAGAAAGTGCCGGTTGGACTTAGGCAGCCGCAATTTACGTCAGGGTAAACTGTTAACCTCTTCAGCCCTGATTTACTTCTTTTCATGAAAAACCTTGGTTATTGTTATTACTATAAGCACATAACTAGCACCATTAACTAAATTTTAGAAGCTTTCCGACCGCCAACTAATGTATACTTGTAATAGGGAAAGCTTGTCGCAATTGCGGGATCTTCTTAATTTTGTAGATTATGTCGAAAAAACCCAAATTTCTTAACGTCGAAAAAGTTTATGGTCTTACAGAACGTTACATATTTCAAGTATTTTGGGATTATTAACACTTATTTAGCAGGATGCTGGGACCAGCGTAGTTCATTATTGCACTAGTACACACATATTAATACTTGTAATGCTGCAGCAAGACGCACTAAAATGGCAGATGCAAAGCAGAATTAGGAAAGGAGACCATCCGAATTAATGCGGCTGCATATGGGTGTAGAAATTATGCTATTGCACCGGATATGCAGCCTTCAAATTTGATGATTGGCAAACTGACAGCTTTAGGTTTCAGAAGGTTATGCGCGATGATCAGACTTTGCGAATCGGGCTGATTCTGTTTTATGCATCTGCGGTCGCCGCGCCGGCCATTGATCGCTCAATTGGCTTTGGGTTCCGCCAACGCAGGTAGCGGCACGCTTGCGAATTGCGCGAATTTTAGCAAAGTCTGGCATCTTGCTTATACTGTGTAGTTTGGTTTTCTTTTTAGTTGTGGTGGTTTGGGGCTCTCTGCTTGAAAACCCAAAATCGCTCCGGTCCCTGTAGGCGAACTTCGCGCCGGGTGGGTTGGTTCCATGTCTTTATTGTACGTTTACCGTTTGCCCACATTACAAGCGAAAGAAATACCCAATTAATTTCTAAGGACTGAAGCGGGGCGGATTTCCAACCAGGGTCAACCCTATCGTTGTGACTCTTCGAAAATTTTTTACGACCCCCCCCCTTCATGGTTGATTTGATACGACCCCCCTTGTACGTTACACTTGTGTAAAGACAGATTGACCTTAATATTTATTGCTACTCAAGTCAAATCAGCTTCCGAATAATGAGATGCACTCGAAGGTACCCGAAGGGTACCCCGAGGGGTTACTAAACTAAGAGATCGCCAAACTGAATCAGTTGCCTTAACACATTGTGGACCGCCGTTGAATGAAAACTTCGCCAAAAATGAGTCATCTATCAATAAATTTTTTGCCCGCTTGAAGATGTGTGCAAACTGTTCAGAAAGATTGTAAAGACAATAAGTCAGACGAAACCATGCTCTTTCAATCATGCGATGTGATTTCAAATTTGCTGGTTGGCGCCCTTTTGCCTTGCTGACGGTGGAGCGCATCTGCTCAAGGTGAGGAGCCGTCGAACGGGAATGTGAAAAGTTTAGGAGTTTTTTTTGTTTAATTTCAGGTAGTCCGGAAGATATCGGCGGATGTTGGATCAGCGTAGCGTGCGGGGTCGTCTGGGCGTGGTCTGGTGCGCAACCAAGGGTGTTGCGTGGTTCATCCTTCTCAAGGAGTGCCCATTTTTTCTCAAACCCTTCACAATGAAAAAGTTATAAGCCAAAAAATTAGATTGCAAGAGAATTTTTACACTCCTCTTTCTAGGGCTATAACTTCCTTCATGTTCGAGCTTCAGCGCCATAGTGATTTGATTTAAAAAATTCAAATTATTCTCTAGCCAATCATGGGTATAAATTCTTCGAAAGTTAATTTATTAAAAATTTTGGACGTTGTGACTTTCTCTGGTGCAAACCGACTTTTTTGCTTTCAAACGATCATAACTTCCTTCAAAGTCATTCATTTAGGAAGCTGAACGCGATATAACACACTCCAGGATTCAAGCTTTCTAACGAGTACCCAAACGTTCCTGCAAAATCAGTAGTTCAAAATTTAGTCCCGTTGTAACCATTATAAAGGGCTGGTGTAACCATTTCTTTGAAAACGCGACTTTTTTACCTTCAAACGATCATAACTTCCTTAAAAGTCATTCATTTAGGAAGCTGAACGCGATATAACACACTCCAGGATTCAAGCTTTCTAACGAGTACCCAAGCGTTCCTGAAAAATCAGTAGTTCAAAATTTAGTCCCGTTGTAACCCTCAAATTTGAGGGGTATTTTTTGAGCCACTTTCTCGAAAGCGCGAGTTTTCTTAAGTTCCACTGCCCGTAACATCTCGCAAGACCAATTTCATGTTTAATTTAGGATGTGCTAGAATGCTCCGAGCATGCGCTTGCACTACATCCCTTGCCTTGGTGCGCGCCACGCCTCGGGCGCCCTTCTAATTCGCTGATTCATTTGAAAGCTCATTCAGAGGGAAGCGTGGTTTACAGATGCTCTAGTATCAGTAATCTTGCGCAAACGTATCGTGCCGGCTATCATGCTGGTCTCTAAAGGCATTAGTTTCATATGTGGTCTCGTGGCTGTCACAATGCGAGTACTTTTTTCAGGATGCTGCAATCTTCCACTTCATGACTGCGTCCTTGCAGGGAGAAGGCTTTGCATAATTGCTATAACTATTCACAAACACTTTCTTTGCTGCGTTTGCTCTTCTCCTTCGTACCACTATCCATACTCAGTAGGACATCACCAAGAATTTTCAGTGCCGGCCACCAAAAAATTACGACCCCCCCCTCCAAGCTCAATTCAGTACGACCCCCCCGTTGTGACTCGTCACAACGTAGGGTTGACCCTGGTTCCAACCCGATCGAGGCGCGATCGAGATTGAGATCTTTGCCTTATAAGCAGTTTCGTGGGCTAATTACCGCATTCGCATCCATTTTAGAGCGCAATATGCCTACTTAATTGTGGAATGTGTTTTAGATCGGCGATCAAGTCTATTTCATTTCGTCATGGATTTTAATTGTTGAAAAATTAATTGAAAACGAGAAGAAATTAACATTTAGTCAGAGGAGTTACATTTGTTGTTTAACTCAAAATATAGGGTCTGTCTGGGTGCAAGGTGTACGAAAATGAGTCTTTCAGATCGAGGCTTGCTCAAGGACTAGTACCCAATGGCAGGACAGGCAGGCGTGCTCCTAGAGGAAGGAACATATACAAAATAGTGAGCGCATTCCTTTTGAAGAATAGTCGTCGTCTTTGTTCATAATGCACATCGATTAAGTGCTTACTTTAGCCTCCCGATATTGATACAGTGCCCAAATGTGGTCTCGCATAGTTACAGAACATTTTGGCAATTCCAGTATTCCAGAGATACAGCACGACTCTTGAGAACGACGCCCAAGCCTATGCGGACAACTGCACCACCACCGGCTCTCCTGTGACTTCGCGCCCAACTCAGGGCGAAAATTTTGATCGGATCCCATCAACCACCGCTACGTCGTATCAAAACGCTATTCGCAGGGTATAATCGCTCTGTCTATCTGGTTTACATTGAGACCATTTCGATCTTCCAATCCAAGTACCCCCTTTCAGGCAATTAGAAGGTTTTGGTATGAGATCAAACAGCACGGCATAAACCAAAGGATGCTGTTCACTCAGCATCTCCTGAGCTAGACCTGCGGCACCGCTCAGATTTACCCAGGTAAACTTCTTTTTTGAAGCAGCAAAAGAGAAATATTTTCGATGAACAGCTCCAGTAGCGTGCTAGGCGAAAAAGGTAGCCAAATTTGCTCGGAATTCTTCACATATTTAACGAATCACTGTAACGATGTCAGCTCTATCAGTTTGGCTGCGCACGCATTCGCGTGCATCACATGGGACTGCACTGGACTCCGCCCACTTTGCAGCACGCTCCACCCACCAACAGCACTTAGAGTCCCTTCCTTCGCTCACCTCCATCCACTTTGCTCCGGTTTTCCGAGACTTTCTGGAATCATGTCGTAAGGTTCCGTTGCAAGCCACCCCAATGCTCTTTCCACCCAACAATAGCACGTAGCCCTTTCTTCGTCAACCTCTACCCACTTTTTTCCGGTCTCCGGGACTTCTTGGAACCGAGTTATGATGTTGCGTTGCAGACTCCACCACTTATGAGCAAGTGCCCGCCCACCCCACACCTGACCTCATTTCTTCTCTGACCTCGATCCACTTTTCCCGGTGGACTTTTCGGAAGCAAGTTATAGATTTGATAGCAAACTATTGTTCGCGATACGCCCACCATTAACGCTTGACCTCACCTCCTTTTCTGACCTCTATCCACCTTTTCCCCACTCTCTAATACTTTACGGAACACAAATACGATGTTTCGCGGATAACTCCGCCCACTTTTGTGCATGCCCCGCCCACCAACAGCACTTGGCCTCATTTCCTTCCATAACCTCGACACACTTTTTCCCGATTTCCTGGACTTCTTGGAAGCGGGTTATAAGTTTGCCATGGGTCTGCATACACCAGTTTGCGCAACGATCATTGCCTACTTCAATTCCACGTCTCGAGCAGGCGGAACCTTCAAGCTTAAAGACTCCCTCACGAAAGCGTTTAGACCAATTTTGTGCGGAGCATTCGATACCTTGCGCTCTCCACACGCAGCATTAAAGGAATCTTCCACGGACCATGGACCAGTGGGCGGGACCGGAAGTGGTTTTGCGACGAAATGCATGGTAGGTACGGATCCACGTTCATGGGAAGGTTTGAAGTGAATCCTGTTCACGTTCGTGCGTTCGACACGTGGATCCGTACCTACCATGCATTTCGTCACAAAAACTTCCGGTCCCGCCCACTGGTCCATGGTCCGTGGAAGATTCCTTTAATGCGACGTCTCAATAAGGCTGCTGATTCACCAAATATCAACCCGTATAGTAAAGGTCATGAAAGTACTGTTGTGAAAGTTGCATATTGCAGAAACGTGATAAGACGGAGTTAACGGCTAATAATTATACTAAACTTGCACATATATGTTCTCCTCATATATGCACGAGCCAAGTTGCTGGAAGGCGTTAGCCGGTAAAAGACGAGGTTTTGTGAAAACCGCAAGGACTTTTCCCACACCCTAACAGTTTCTCCCTTGCTCGAAGGAAGAGTGATCAATAAGTTAATTTTAATCAGTTAATTTCCACCTTGGGCGGAAAGTTTTACCCACAACACAGCATTTTTGCGATTCCGGCAAACTGCCGCCGAGAACTGCGTTAACAAAATATGATTTCAGATGGCTTGGGCTTCCACCTACGAAGTTGGCTGCGGAGCTAAACTCTGTACGGACAACTACTATGTCGTTGTGTGCCGCTACAATCCACGGTACTTCACTTTCATTCGATAGGCGGAACATTTACATGCTTGACATCCAAGTGATTCTTATTATCGTGCCATTCACAGCGCGATTAAGCAAATTCTTCCGTATGAATTAGGACAAAAGTCTTGGTCACATGGAACAGAATGGTTCCTAAGGGTGTGGACCGACACGCAATTCGCAGTGAAAGGTATGCCCCGGCGACTAGAATGGTCGTCCCCGCGCCGCCGGTGCCACCGGCACGCCCACCCTCTCCCCGTCTTCTGACCGTTCAATATAGAGAGCGTTCGAGGAGGTTGCATCAAGACGGAAATCACCTAACAGACGAGGGGTCTCGTTTCTCGGTCATTCCCCATGGTATTTTCTTGACCCACGCATTACTGGCCACTTATTGATCTTTAATGGGCTTTTCTTTTACCGTGAACGTCGCCTATGATATAGCAGGCTTTACTTACTTTTGTGCTTTATGTGCACCGAATACTCTAGATGCACTCATCATTGGGGAAAAACACTTGTAGGCATGGATCATGCCTACAAGACCCTAAGAAATATGGAACAGTTCTTCCTTGAATTTG